TGCGGAATTCACGAGCTCAAACACTATCAAACTGACAAGATCGTTCACTGTCTATAGCCGGGTACCCATTTCCACCTGGGTGAAGTGAGGAAAATTTGTGCAAAGTGCCTTTCCCAAGGACACAACGTCGGGCCCCTGACGGGATTCGAACCCACAACCTTACGGTTGCGAGTCCGAGAGCCTAACCACTAGGCCACCGACGCCACTTGTCAGTATGGTAGTGCTTTAGCGTCTATAAAATGGCAGCTTCTCAGGAAGTTCAGATTGTTTTAGATTGCAAACAGTCAGGTCTTCTGGGGTAATAGTATAGTTTGTAAAGAGCATAGACCTTGCTGTTGAGTGAGCGGGAATTTGTGCTACACAAATGCTATCTGTTATCTGTTATTATAGACAGACGGTCCTCTAGGACAGAGTCAGTATACTAAAAGTTTTTTTAGTTTAGTTTTAATTAGTTTGTTTAGTTTTAGTAAAGAGTTTTACAGCACTTGCAACATGAAAAGGTCATATAAGTGACGAATATTAGAGGTGTTACAAGAGAATAACAACAAACGTAAAAAAGAAGGAGAGATAAGGACGATAGATGTTTAAGAGGAAAGAAGGAGCAAACCACACCAGAGCACCCGCCAACCACTCACTGGTTTAGTTTTAGTAAGAGTTTTACGGCACATGCAACACAACAAGGTCATATAAGTGCTAAAGAATAGATGTTTCTGAAGAGAGTAACAAACACACCAAAAAAAAAGAGAGATGAGGACGATAGTTGTTTGATAGGAAAGAAAGAGCAAACCACATCAGAGCACCCGCCAACCACCTGCAAAGTTTTTAAAAAATTGTTTTTAACTTTTAAAAAAAATTATAACGCTCGGGGAAGGGAGTGAAAAGTAGACATTTGTAGCAGTAGCATGTAATAGCCTCGGAAAGGTGGTCACTAGCAGAGGTTTCACTGTTTATTGGTTTGTGCAAAGAGAAGCACATGAACACAATAATGTTCATTTAGTGCTGGGAAAAAGTAAGACAGATAGACAGAAACAACAAATTGGAAAGTAAAGGCTTCACTGTGTGTATTCACATTCAAACACACAGACTTCTTTTATACAAGGAATATTAAATAAAACTAACTTTTCTGGAATGAACAGTAACATTTTTCATCTAATCCTTTTTATTGTCTTTACTTATACAGGCTTCCTCTCCTATACAGAAACTCTTTAGAGCTCGCACATGTCATTGCTTTGTCTTAATAAGCATTTTACGGCACTTACAACACAATAAGGTCATACAAGTGCCCAAGATTAGAGGAGTTACAAGAGAGTAATAATAATAATAATAATTGCATTTATATAGCGCATGTATACCCATGCTCAAGAGCTTGCTCTATGCGCTTTACAACTATTATTAACTATCGAGTACCAAACACGAAAAAGATAGGAGGAGAGAAAAGGATGTTTGAAAGGAAAGAAGAAAATAACCAAACCAACCCACACACCAACAACCCGAAGCGCAGGTCAAAGAAACCTAATAACATTTTCCACGACAGTCACTTGGATCTTTATGCTAGACTTGTGCTTTGCACCACAAAGAGTTAGGGGACAGAATCAAAGACGACACCACCACGAGGGGAAATCACCCCAGTCACTTACCAGGACGTATCTCACGTCTCCGTTCATAAATGCCACGTAGAGAGGTGTGGACGAGTTCCCCGGGTCTCCGTCCGGACAGGCACCAGACTGGAGAAGTTTCCGCGAGCACTCTAGTCGACGATTCTTCACGGCCACAAATAACGGGGTCTGACACTTTACATCCACGATGTCGATTCTGGCACCCACATCAACAAGACACGTAAGGCACTCCAAGTGGCCACCTACAAATTTATAAAATCGAATAAAAAGTTTTATAAAAACACAAAATAAAATACCTTGTGTGTGGTGTGCTGATGAAATCGGGCACTCGTCAAGATAATGACACATATAAATTTTTTTTATAGTAGAGGGTTTTACAGCGCTCGCAACTGCATAAGGTCATATGAGCACCAAGGGGTGGGTGTCAACAGAGAAGTCTTTACAGGGAATCAGACACAAAGTCTGCTTGAACTATCAAGGCACCCCG